GCGTTCTTCAGTGGCACAAAAAGGGCTCGCCGCCTCTGGTTGCGTGTTTTGAAGAGAGGTGCGTTAGTGAAAAAAAATTGAGCTACAGCAACAATGCTGACCGTAATTGGAAGCCGAAGCGTCACTGGGATGTAGTATCCACTCATCACCGGTTGTTTGGTTATTTAAGGTTACTAATATGTATTGGTATCTAACAACGCTAGTATTTTTTGTTGCATTAGTCACGCGCGGTAAATTAAGCATGAAGTTTCAAAGTTCGTTAGATAAAAGTTCCTAACTTTAAAGCTTAACTAATGTCCTTTAACTTTTTTTTTTGGGGGGGGGGGGGAAGAGGGTGGGAATCACGTGAAGAAGAGCAAGGGAGGTTACACTCTCAGTCAGCATCCTATGCTCAAACTAATGTCAGACTTGCCTCGTTGCTTGTGCATTTTAATCCTGAGTTTAAAAGACGTTTTAAAAACCGTTCTTCCTCAAAAACATTAATTTTTCCAAAGCACAGCAGTAAGTTCACCATGTTCCCCTTTCAAACTGTGCAAGGCCCTTTACCAGCCATGGGTTTATTGCTGCCGTGTATGCCAGTGCTGCAACTCCAAGTAGATTTCTGAACCAGTTTGGGTTGGGGTTTTTTTTTTGGCTGTGAAGTTACTTGTGAAACTCATTGACAAGCTGATGGTTTGACTTCAAGTAATTTTAAGGATTTAGAGCAGTTTAATACAGCTTTCTAGCTTTTGATCAGATGGCATAAACCAAAAGCATTTTAAATGGAGAGAGCTTGTCCAACTGGGAGGACCTCCTGTGCAAAACTTCCCGTTAAATGCAGTGATAAAGAAAAGTATTGCTGTGGTGAATGTATAAACAGGCAAGGATCAATATGTAATGTGCAGAAGGTGCGAATGTTGATCAGTGCCGGTAGGGAATGGACATGTTTCTTCATTTACAAGTATATATTGTGTATTTTAGTGTTATTTCAGTTTTACAAGCAAGTACTTACAGTCCATACTTTAGGTGTTTGCTAAGAACGTGTATTTATTGTAGATTATCTTAAATATGTATTTTAGTGGTAGAAAGAAGTAGATTGTATGTGGGAAGAAGCTTTAGCATGACAATATCCTATTTTCAAAGTTTTCTAAAATCTGCATCTTTATTAGACAATGAAAGTGGTTAAATAGGAAATGGGTTATATTTTCGAGTTCTTCAGCATGTTTTCCTTGAAATAGAAAAGCCCCACATTTAAAGCTGTGTGGTTATTTCACAGATGCTTAATGGTGTACTACTAGCGTCAGACTAGAGGTTCCTAAATTGTGATGTAGTGCTCACTTCTTAGAGGTGCTTGAACACTGCCAGTTAAATGGTAACTCATGCACGTGTGCAAAGCTGCACGCAGGCTAGGAAGCTGCTGATGCTCAAAAAAAATAAGCTTGTCAATGTGTGTTTAAACTCTTCTTAGTATACATATTGGTCAGTTTAAAGTAGAGCTTGTAAAGCTTACATATTTTAAAAGGTATTTCACCTGCAACATGGGGGTAAATGTAAGTAACTGATAGAAAAGGGATTTCAAGTTATGGTAACACCAGATGAGTATGTTACTTTCATTACTGCAGTCTTTGTTACGTCATGTCTAAAACGAGACTGAAGCCCTTCAGGGCATCGACCGATCTCATGTTTCTGAAATAATACTTAGTACACTTCAGGGAACTGGAGTTAAAAAGATAGATTTTCTTGTCAGTTCTATGTCACAATTTACCTTTCTAAGTACGTCTCCTTGTTTACCAAGAACGTAAGGTAGAGTAAGCACTTTGTGCTTACAAATCACTGTAGCAGCCACGCTAAAGTAATACATTACATGTTTCATAAATGGGACCAACTTGGTATGATCTGTTGATTTAGTATCCAATTCCAAAAGAATCTGTTCCTATAGGCTGACATGATTTATAGAAGAGTATGACCTAGGAATGAGTAGAGCACCAAAAAAAATTACTACTTGCTAGCCATAAGAAATGATTTTATGTTGCCTTGAAACTATATGGTGTATCATGCTTATCTTATTGTTGTTGATACACGAGTCTGAATAATGTCATTTTGGTTGTAGGAACTCTTTTCACAAACTTTATAGTTTGAAACAGATTGCAGAGACAGTTCAACTAATAGTCTGCCAGTGATCTGCAAAACAAAGTTTTGAAACTGGGTCACTTATTGGTGCCACCTGTGTATCGATGCCATAGTGATGTTGCAACTTTGAAATCCATTATCAGTGATCTTTTCATTAACATAAAAATGTAGGGTTAGTCACTTTCTTGGTACATTACAGAAGGTCTTCTCAGAAGTGTATGACTAGTGTTAATGCATGACACACATGGAAACAACTCCAAGTACTGATGTTTGTTGGGCTTTTTTTAACTTGCAGTCTCACTTGAGGTATTAATGAGCTGTGTAGATGCCACAAGCATGCTTTGCTTCCTTTTACTCCTCTTGGAGATTTTTTGCTGTACTCCATATGGTAAGGAAAGGAATTGTCTTGTATTTAGATAGATAGGCTTTGGCCGACTGACTGTTATGAACGCATAACGTTTCTCAGACTGCCAGGATCTTTCTCGAAAGCGCTGTAAAGGTTGAAATTATTTTTCAGATCCCAGTTCGATGTGTGGAATTACAAAACACACTGTGGAATTTGAATGCTTTTTGTGTGTGATCAAAAAGCCTCTTTGAACGCAGCCTCAAGCTCAACAATGTCAATGCTTTAATTTTCTACGACTGTTCATATCTAAAATAATAAAGAACAACACAAACTATAATTCTCTGTTAAAGGAAAAACAAATCTTGTAAAAGGGGTGGCAAGCTTAGCTGAAATCTTTTGAGATCAGTCCATTGGTTTCCGGAGGATGGGGTGAGTCGAATCTTGGAACTGAAATATTAGGTACTTGGTAAAATTTGGCTGTCAGAATTGTAGGTGTGGTATTAAAAAGTGAAGCATGGCATGGTGGTAGGCCTCAGTGATCACTGGATCAGTCTTTAAGTGCTGCAGAACTGGCACGATTAGATCCTGCTGTAATATGAATAGCTGTACTGAAATGTCCTACTAACTGAGTTAGCAATGTTAACAGCTATTCTAGACTTACATGAGATTATAGAGTATTTTTCAGTTATTTGCAGTTTCTTTGACAAGCTCATTATTATCCATTTTTTCTGTTCTGTGGAAACAAATGTAATTCACGAATAAACTTCTGTAAATTAATTTCATGTTGTCACTGAAGTATTTCAGTGAATTATAACTCTGGGGGTAGTGCTTGCTTAATGTGCTTGTCAGCTGGGCACTTAATTGCATGCCAGCTACAGTCAGACAGCAAAAGTATACCGGTTGTATTTATTGAAAAGGGAGAGAGAAGTTTGCAGCCTTATTTCATAGTGATGTAGAGCTTCAGCTGCTATGGCTAACTAAGTCCAACCTCTTCTCATCTTTCTTTAGCTGTTGTTCTCGGGTGACTAATAACTGTATCTTGACAATGTTTTCTCTTAAACTGCGTTTCCAAAGGATCTAGCTGATATCACTGCAGCTTGAAAATATGAAATGTTTTCAAATTGTATGAGCAAAAATAAGTATTTGGCACCATTACCAGCTGACAACTTAATAAAGACTGTGTTGTGCTGTTTATTTATATGAAAACCAAAATATATCGCAGTAAGTAGTCAGAGACTAGAAGTGCCAAGCTTTTGACTGACAAGAGTCATCCTGCAGTGCCAAATACAGTAGAGAGTTTACAAACTTCCCGTGTTAAGACTGTTGTAGTCTGGTGTAGTGCCAAGAGCTTATCCAGTATTGTAAGTTTGTGTTGTAGTGTGACTGAGCACTTATATTTGGCACTGTTTTTCTGTGAAGATGTACCTTTAATCTTTCCTCTGAGTTTCAGGTTTCAACTTACTGCCATGTTCAAGTAGTAATAGCGCAACATGTCCCAGCTGTAACTAAGCTCCTAAGTAGGGTAACTGCAGAGCTATTGAGTATTAAAATGCATTTAAAAACACACACAAAACCAGGAAACCCCAAACTTACCCTGTTATTTAATCATTTAAAGAGATTAACAAGTACTAATTACTTAACAGTGTTTTAGATGTGACTTACCTGGTTCTTTTTAGATCCGTGGTTGTGGTCTGATCAGAGAGTGTGAACATCAGCATCAGGGGGATTCACAGTTTGATGTCAAGTTTGTTTTATTCTTAGGATACAATCAGCTTAGGATACAATTTTCCTTTTTTGAAAGAAATAGAGTAGGGTAACTTTTCTATGAAAAGAACACTGTTCACTGTAATCTTTGTCTTCAGTACACTTGAATAAGAACAGTCCTAGCTTACTCGCTCATTCTTTTCCACCTCTGAGAAATGAAATGTAATATTCCTTTTTAATAATTCTTTTGGGTAATGGTCACAATGGTCATTTACCAGAGCATTGGTAACATAGCATTGTTTCCTGTTGATATGTCTGAGCAGCCTTAGAGCAGCTATGTAGGTTTGTCCTTGAGAAAGTCTGGAATTTAGCGATAAAAACCATCTCTCGAAATTCCTGTAGATTCTCATGTTATTCTGTAATAGTAGTTAACAAGCAACACATTGTAGACCATCTAAGCAGACAATCAACTTAGTATGTTTACAGTTGTCAAACTGTAAGGATTCCTTTTAAACAGCGCTTTAAAAAAGTATGTATTATTTCACTACGCCTCTCTATCCTAGTACATCAACATAGCTAGATGTCTGTTTTCTATGAAATTTATAACCACTGATGAAATAACATCACTTTCAATTTTCTCCTAATTCACTCAACTTTGCATTGAAAGCTTGCAATTAGCCAAATACTCCTATGCCAAAAATTTAACTTTTACATTAGATGAATGATTTGTACTTTGGAATTGTGTCATGGGGATATACACATTGGTTATAGCTACAGGGGGCAACGGAAGGCTTAAGTGTGTTCCTAGTTCCGCCTCCCCCCAACACATCTGTGTTGTGCTGTAAGAACAGGTGAGCCTTATATTTGAAAACAGTACCAGCCACAATGCTGGGCTCACCTTCCTGTGGAGAAAACTGCTTGTTGAATCGCCAGTGGCTTGGGAACAAAATGATACTACTTGTAAAATAACAAAGAAGGCTGCTTACCCAAAACGGGAGCCTACACATGCGTAATATCTGCTTGCTTGCTTTCTCAAATCATATGTTTGTCAGGCTCCAAGGATGGCATCTGAAACAGTTTTGGAGCACTACGCTATTCTCATACGTCCCCCCCACACCCCCTCCAGATCATGAAGGCCAGCTTCTTTTAGAGCCCTCTACTTGTTTTTTCCACTGAATATAATCTCTCAGGGACAAATGTATTAGCCTAAATGTTGGTTAATAGATTATTCTTTCCTTTTGTAGTTCTTGTTCGAATACTTAAGATAATACAACTTAGTAAAAACATAATGGTTTGGTTTTTTTTATACTAGTCCTGCAGCTAACAGATATGAATTATTGATTGTTTGGTCAAACACTGTTTTCATTCTTATTTCTGTGCTACTTTCCTAGGAAACCTAACAATTAAAAAGAAGCCAGCTCAGTAGAATTTCGTATGCGGCAATGGCATCTGCTGTAATCAGTTCAGTTCCTACCACTGCATCTCGTTTTGCTTTACTACAAGTTGAAAGCGATACTGATTCGGAGCCTGGAAAAGGAAGACGTGGCCAAGGTGCCAGTAAATCTCAGGCTTCAGGGGGAAGATCATCTACAAATGAGAAAAAAAGAAAGAAAAGGAGAAAAAAGAAAGAACAGCAGCAGAGTGAGGCCAATGAGGTAAGGGGATTGTCCTTTCAGTAGTGGGTAAGGTTGTTATCTGATAAATAGTTTTTGCTGTCCCTGACAAGTCATTGTTTTGGTTTTTTTATGAAACAAATGCTACTTAGTCACAGACACTGCAATTTTTTTTTCTTTGCTTTATTAAGAATTCTTTATATAAAAGTAGGATACCGTCTACTATACAAGTTCAAAATTTTTAATGAGAATAAATGCTAGGTTTTACTTTTTTGACAGCACCACTTGAATAATTAATTTCTGATGAAGAGAATGACCTTTCTAAAAAGTGATTAGTAGGAAACAATTTGTTTTCAGAGGTTTGTAGGCAGTCAGTTCAATTGCCTGCTTGGGCAGCCAGCATGCTAAAATTCAAAGGTGCTTTCAAGGATTTTTTTCTTTTTAGGGGATAGCTCTTCTCTGTCTGAAGAGCTTTAAAATCTGGTTTCCTAAGTTATAATTTGCAGGTTTATCCATCATGCCAGCCCCTTAATCTATTAAATCCCCCCCTGTGAATTGGGAGGTGGAATGGAGAACAGTGGTGACTTTCTGATACTGGGATTCTTAAACCTCAGATGAAGTGGAAATTAAGAAGTGAGGCTGAAAGAATTGTTCCAAGACTCTGGGAACTGGTATTCTAGATTGCTATGTCTGCCAACTGATCTGAGATAATCTTTCTGCCTGAAACTGTACACATCTCTTATCAAATTTAGTATGTAAAACAAACAAAACCCCAAAACCTTTTTTTTAGTATCTATTAAACCTTAAAATCTTTGAAACTTTAGTAGTTGCAGTAATGCTAAGTGATTTTTTCCAGCTTTGATGATGTTCTTTTTATATTGAAGATTAAGCTTTCAGTAAGTATACCCTGATGTTTTTTTATGCCTGTCTTAACACCATCAAAACTTTTTTTGCCATCAAAGATTGTGTATATGCATATGCATTGCATATATTTGCAGAAATTCATTGGCATGGAAATGATACTTATTCCTGTGATGGCAGAGAGGCAAGTGAGGGCTCACTCATTTTCTTCACCCCAGCATGTACTATGTCTATGGCTATACTCCACTGAAATTATAAATCAGAATGGTCTGCACCAGTGTTCTTGCCAGCACTGTAATCTGAAGAAGGAAGCAGGGGTTGTAGTGCTGTTGCAGGCAGCAAGAAAGACAGCAGTGAGGCAAAAGGCAGTATGGCAAGGGACTGTTTGGAGGGGAGGGAAAACAATTCTAGAGTATCTGCATTATTACCTGATTTTAAGTAACTTTAAGCTAAGGTGAGCTGCCATTTTAAGGAGTCATGGCACTCTATAAACACACGTTAAGGAGAACACTGTTATTGTACTTTGTTTCTCTTTGTTTCATCTTTCATCTGATAATAGCTTCTTTTTCCCCTCCAGGAGCCTTTATGTTAAGGAAATCCCTGTCTCTAAATTGATACTAGATTGTATTGATGCCTTTATTTTCACGCCAAGTAAGGACCAGAGTGTCAGTTAATGTTTAAGCTTGAGCAGTGAATGTCTTTGAGCTGCCAAATTTGCAGGTTACTTGTTCACTGTCAAATTTCATAATTATATAAGGTATTTTTGTGATGGCACTGTTGTATCCATATGGTGCAGTGATTAAAAAGAACTCTTATTTCAGGTTCTCAAAATGTGACCAACTTCAGATTGTTGACAAACTGTAAGGACTGTCTACGTTGTTCTTTTTCTACCTGGATGTCTAGTTCCTCTGCTTGCCGATGCCAAATCTGTGTATACTATCTTTTCTTTGGCATTATATTCAATTTGAGTCAAGTGTGAGGACACTGTAATACCTGCTCCAGCATGAAATGTGTCGGACACAGTTATCCCTTCAGATTTGTTAAAAGTATTTTCGGCTGGCAAAATATATTTACTTTTTCATTTTTCAATGTTATGTGGCTGTGGTGTTTCTGATCCACACTTTTCCATAATTTTACATTATGGTATGTACAGTAAACGATTAAACAAAAATGTATCCCAAACTACAGAGTAAGGTAAAGCACACGCATGTCTATTTGCACATGTGTCTGAATGCCTTTGTTAGTCCATTAAGACTGTTTCTGTATACTTGTCAACATTTTGAGTAATGTTAAAAATAACTGTTTTTCAGCTCAGAAACCTTGCTTTTAAAAAGATTCCTCAGAAATCCTCACATGGAGGCTGTCTATCTCAGCATGAACAAAAACTGCACACTGCAATGCAGAAGGACTCTCAGGAAGAAGACTGGCAGGAGTGGAGACAAAGAGATGAGCAGGTACAGCTTACTGTGTTTAGCTGTCTTTGGCTTTCCTGAAATATATTACTCCATGAAGTTAAATCTCATGGATAAAGAGAGATGGCTGAAGAAGCAGCAACAAAATACTGCCACATAGAAGGAAAGGTTTCAGTGGTAATTCAGGCCACATCTTCTGTCAGATATAGTTTAGAGCCAGCACATGCTGCTCTTTGCACACCTCATAGCTGGACTGTGAATACTGGAGTATGGTGGAGGAATTTATATGATTTGGGCATCAAGTAGAAGTACTGCCATGGAAAGATGGTGAAACGCTGTGGTGGGAACAAAGCTGGGAATGTTTTGGTGGAGCAATATATGTGTATACAGTACAGATCCATAGTAAACCAGGCTTAGTAAGTTCTGTTAGGCAGGAAATAACTAGTTCCTTTCTAGGTAACGAAGAACACTTGAACTGAGTGCTAACTGTCCTTTAGCACACAAGGGTAGTCCTAGCAGAGTAAGAACCTCTGTTTTTTCATGTTAGAACATCTTTTTGGTAATAATATTGTTAGCAGGGTTCACTAACACTTGAAAAATACAACAGAGATAAGACAAAGACTGACTGTGCCTGTATGAAGGCCAATATAATGTTTTCACTATGTTTCTTCTTGCCAAAGCTACCACAAACAGAAATTACACAGTGAAATGCACTTAATCCAAAACAGTAAAATAATCTTCACCTTGAACAAATACAATAGTTTGCTGTCCTTGTGATGTCAGTTAGGAAGAGTACTTACACTTAAAACTAGCCTTTTCGGTTCTTGACTTGAATCCAGCATTTAAAATACTCCTTTTTGATACGGAAGAATGTATAGTGATTTTCTTGTATGGTGTTTTAAATTATATGAATGTTCTGAATTATTTGCAGTACTTCAACTATTTTAGGCCAAAACAGCATAGATGGACAAAGAAAGAATTTGTTTTAGTGCATTTTTTCAGATGGTGCTTAAAGAAATGTTTTGGTACACTTTTTTCTAGATCCCTTTTAAATAATTGTCTGCTATGCACTCATTCACTGTGGATGATTGTTTGGGCTCTCTGGTTATGCTTGAAGATGCTCTTCACAGTATTTAACTTTGCACAAATTTTTTTCAAGGCAAGTTATCATAGAATCAAAGAATAGCTTGGGTTGGAAGGGACCTCTAAAGGTCATCTAGTCCAACCCCCGTGCCGTGGGCAGATCAGGTTGCTCAGCGCCCCGTCCAACCTGACCTTGAATGTTTCCAGGGATGGGGCATCTACAGCCTCTCTGGGCAACCTGTGCCAGTGCTTCACCACCCTCATCATAAAAAATTTCTTCCTCATATCTAGTCTAAATCTACCTTCTTGTAGTTTAAAACCATTACCCCTTCTCCTGTCACTACAGGCCCTGGTAAAAAGTCTCTCTCCATCTTTCTTATAGGCCCCCTTTAAGTACTGAAAGGCTGCAATAAGGTCTCCCCAGAGCCTTCTTTTCTCCAGGCTGTACAATCCCAACTCTCTCAGCCCTTTGTCGCAGGAGAGGTGTTCCAGCCCTGTGATCATTTTTGTGGCCCTCTTCTGGACCCGCTCCAACAGGTCTGTGTGTTTCTTATGCTGAGGGCTCCAGAGTTGGACACAGTACTCCAGGTGGGGTCTCACCAGAGCAGAGTAGAGGGGCAGAATCACCTCCCTCCACCTGCTGGCCACACTGAGAATCACAGAATCATGGAATCATTTAGGTTGCAAAGGACCTTTAAGATCATTGAGTCCAACCATTAGCCTAACACTGCCAAGTCCACCACTAAACCATGTCCCTAAGCGCCACATCTCCACGTCTTTTCAATACCTCCAGAGAGGATGACTCCAGCTCTTCCCTGGGCAGCCTGTTCCAATGGTTAACCACTCTTTCTGTAAATAGAATTTTCCTCATGTCCAATCTAAACCTCCCCTGGCACAACCTGAGACTGTTTCCTCTTGTCCTATCGCTTGTTACTTGGGAGAAGAGACCAACACCCACCTCACTACAACCTCCTTTCAGGTAGCTGTAGAGAGCGATGAGGTCTCCCCTCAGCCTCCTTTTCTCCAGGCTAAACAACCCCAGTTCCCTCAGCCGCTCCTCATA